GTGGAAGATCCTTGAAAAGATAGCTATGTTCTATGGGAAGCCTTGAAGGACTTTGATCCCAACTTCTATAAAAGCAAAGGAAAACAATACTAATACTTTGTATTAGTGTCTAATAGTATCATATTACAGAGATTATTCTCATAAATTTTTCCCAGAATATGCAAGAAATATGATATAAATGACTTTTTTTCCTGATTGCCCACTATCTCATTATTTTTTTTTTCATTGGGCCATATATACTCGACAATTATCCGTAATCTACTAATCTTAATTAGGTAATTGAGTTAGTCCAATTTCTACAGGAGATTTTGGAATATAAGATTGTAGTATAGCATTGGACTCACCTATCTATTAGGCAGTCAGAGGGTGTTTAAATGGAATTGGGCTGAGCTATAATGTATTCCAAGCTGAAAAGGCAGATGATTTCAAATCTGTCTTCTGCTCCTTTGTCTACTTATAGTTAGCATCTTTACTAATTTCCTCAACTAAGCATGTTAGTATCTACGAACAGAACCGTCCGGTGGCATTTTTGTTCTGTTTCACTTTGGGCTTTTAAGTAAGTATCTGTTATGATTAGAGTATCATCAAGTAGATGTGGGATCCTTCATTTTTTCCTAACACTGGTGCTTATCTGATTTTGATGTGTGAGGAAGGAAGTAGATAGTTATGGTGTCTTTGATGCCAAGATATTGGGTCTCCCTGGAATTCAAAGGGCTAGTTGGAAGGGCCTGTATATAATACGATTCCAAGAACCCATAAGGTAAGATAAGGAATCACTGGAGGAAGATCATGTTTATTATAGGATGTGGTTTGTTATGGAAAAAGCAGAGGAGGCCAAATTGAGAAGAACTTGGAAAAAAATAATAACTAAAATTTGGAAGTTGTTGGTAAGCTCATGAAGATAATTCTAGCAGGTTATCCTGTTTAGTCTGAACCTGGCTTGGTTCTGTCATCATAACTGGAAAATAAATCCCACCCTTAGCCTCAGTCATCAGCTCAACTTTAGATCTCTATATTACTCTACATGTATCTGAGAACCACATGTAAATACAAAGTATCATGCCTGATACTCAGCGAATTCTCAGTAAAGACAGCTATCAATATCATTATTATTATCATCACATATTCATCATTAT